AATAATAATATCAAATAGCATTTCTATAGCGCATATCCCTGCTCGACAGCAAGCTCTATCCGCTTTGCACTAAAAGAAATTACCCCAGCAGACCACAGAACACTCAGAAATATTCTCAGCTTCCTGGGAAGTGTACATTGCAAGCAGCTGATCAAGCGCTCAAACACTAACAAACTGACACCATTTTTCGCTGTCTATGGCTGGGTACCCATTCTCACCTGCGTGGAAGTGAGGGAAATTCGTGTAAAATGCCTTTCCCAAGGACACAACATAGGGCCCCTGGCGGGATTCGAACTTTCGACTTCACGGTTGCGAGTCTGAGAGCCTAACCACAAGGCCACCAACGCCTTACTTACAACTGTTGGTCACGTTTAAGCACAAAGGGGGCTATCCCGAAAAATGCTGTTTGGAGAATATCGAAGGTAAAATATTGTTGTCCCTTGTTCAATTTCTTTAAAAGACAAGGAGAGTTTTCTCTATAACCAAACAAATATACACACCAATGAAACCACACTTTTCCTATAGGTAGGGCAATGCCCACTTTTGGTGTAGGTCAAGATTTCTGGAAACCTTCCAAATCTGAGTTAGCACGCTTGTCCTGAAAAGCGACCAACTTATAAAACTGTAACAATCCTCCCCAGGTTAGTCATTTCTATGATGTTCTAGAACAATCTTCCACAGATTCGTCATTTCTATGACGTTCTAGAACAATCTTCCACAGGTTTGTCATTTCTATGACGTTCTAGAACAATCTTCCACAGGTTTGACATTTCTATGACGTTCTAGAACAATCTTCCACAGGTTTGTCATCTCTATGACGTACTACGGGCTCACCCTGAACGTGTCCAACATGGGGGGCAATATCTTCCTCAACTTTTTTCTCACCGTCATTGTCGATTTCGTCGCTTCCACGACCACCGGGCTGCTGGCCGAGAAGTTCAGCCGGAAGCGCTTCCACATAACTGTCTTGACCATCGGTGGATGCGCATGCGCAGCTTCCTTCATTCCTGTCATTACTGGAGGAAACAGTAAGTGTGCGGGTGCTGTAGTGTGCTCTGGTCTGCTCCTTATTTCCCACAAAACATCTTTACTTTATTTTTTACTTTTCCATCCTCTGGTATCATTATATGGGGTGCCCACTGCAGATGGGATCGGCCGATCGCCCGACTCGGTCGTCTCAAAATAAAAAGTGTTTGTTTTCAGTTTCAGACGACCGAGTCGGACGATCGGCCCGATCCAGCCGTAGTGGGCACCCCTTATTGGGATATCGAGGGGAGGTGCCAGTTTCGGTCCTGTGCTAGGTGTGTAGCGTCTGTGATAGATATGTTATGTTGTTCCAGGACCATTGTAACCTCATCCAGCCAGGTCTTTCTTGGTCTTCCTCTTGATTTGAAGCCGAATTCTAGGGTGTTGTAAGCTCTAACTGTTAAATGTTTCTGGGGCATTCTGGTTAGATGTCCAAACCATTTGATTCTTTGACGCTCTATGAATTTTATTACTAGTGGGATTCCAGTTTGTAGACGTATGGTTTCGTTTTTTATGCGGTCTCTTCTGGTGATGTTGATGGTTTTGCGGAGAGATCTCTTTTCGCTTGCAATTGTCCTGTTACACCATATTCTCCAATGTGTGCCCTAGCACTTTCACGTATCAAAAGGTGGAAGTCAGAAGCGTGGTTTTGGATACCAACTGAAAAATGTTGTTTCGAGAGAGATAACACACTCTGACCCACTTTGTTCTCACAGCACTATGATTTCATGGGGTAATTCTTATCTGTAGTTGCCTTGCACTCGATGTTTTAAAAGGTGGCGTCTGTAGTCTAGTAGTAGTGGTTAGACAACTGGACCTGTTATCGAGAGATGGTTCGAGGCTATACTGGCACCGACGTTGTGTCCTTGAGAAAGGCACTTTAAAAAGAAATATTTTCATTTGCCTCGGTTCTTTCGGATATCAACGTTAAACTCGAAGGCGCCACGCCACCTCTTAACCCTATCTGTACGTCGTGTTTTACTATCGTATCCATACGACGTGGGGAACTCTGGGCCACCACTTTCCAAAGAAGAAATTTACTCGTTACTCTTATCGGTACGCTTGGGATAGCAGTTTGTCAAAATGATTTTTGTTTTAGAAATACGGAAAAGTTTCAAAGAGATCTTCCAACTAAAAGTATTATAAATAAAATGTGAAGAATACAACCCCGGAGGTACAAAATGACCCCAGGGCGTACGGATACGGTTAAATAACGTTAGAATGATGCAGGGGCGTTAAGCTTATACAGCTTCATACTATGGGGGGCCATTCGCAAAGTGGTTGGTGAGCTCAAGCTCGCTATAATGTCACACTTCTTTCTTTGACTCGGCGTTTGGGTGGATGGTTACTGGGGTGTGTTCTTGAGCAAGACACAATAATCATACCTCTAGAAGTAAAAGAGAGTGCTGCACAGTGATTGGGGTCAAACAGTGTGTCTGGAACTATATTATTTTCTCGAGGTTTAACACACAGGAAGTGTGTTTACCACTACCGCTTTTCCATGTTGCGACTTGATAATCCTATTTCCTGTTGACAATCAATACGGCCAGTGAGACAGGATGAGAGCGAGATGTTACTCAATCTGATGTCACTGTTTTGATTTGTATGCATGAGAGAGTTTGGGCATTTCTTTTTTATTTTTATAGTTTCAGTTATAATAAAACTAATAAATGGAAGACACACTGTTTGGCTGAGCCATGAGGTCTTTTGTGACCACCAGCAATATCAAGTTTACTGCCTGTGCCAGTAGTATAATAGTGTGGATTAAGTAGCATTTATGTATTATTGTAATATCTGTCTATGTATCTTTGAATGAACGACATAACGCACCAAGTGTTCCCATTGGGCTGAATTAAGGAAAACGTATTAATTATTTATAAATTTATATTTGGCAACGTTTTACAGTTCCATCAACGCTCTTTATAATCTGTTGATGCTGTAAAATTCACAGAATGGATTGTGATCGCAGTGTCTATGGTGGGCAAGATGGGCATATCTAGCGCCTATTTCCTGATCTATCAGCTGACAGCCGAGTTATTCCCCACTACATACAGGGCCTTTGGCCTCGGCTCTTCTTCCATGGTGGCAAGGATTGGGGGAATTGCCTCCCCTTATATAGCAGACTTGGTAAGGGACCTTGTAGAAATATCGTCCTATAAGAGCCAGATCCGCGTTTTATGATTTTGGGGCGAAAGTATTTTTTCACCAATCGAAAGCTCGTATCATAGGCTTCATTGTTGTATACGTTTCATCGAGTT